ATAGACCTCTAAGGGTGTGTTTGGAGTGATTTTTTAAAAGTGTTTCTAGAAATTATTTCTCATTAATACTTTAAAAAAAAATAATATTTGAAATCGCCCCACCACTACCTCTACCACCACCACTCTCATCGCTCAACCACCATCACCATTACCACCCCCACTATCACCTCTACCCCACCACCATCACTACTATAACCACCGCTCCATAACCATCACTACCACTACAACGATTGTCTCACCACCACCTCCAGCGCCCNCACCACCACCATCACCTTATCACCACCATCACCATTACCATCACCACTATCACCTCTACCCCACCACCATCACTACTATAACCACCGCTCCATAACCATCACTACCACTACAACGATTGTCTCACCACCACCTCCAGCGCCCTTCCACCACCATCCCCACTACCATCATCATCATCACCACCATTGCTACTGTACCTTACCATCATCACCACTGCTATCGCACCTTACCACCATCACCCCCACCAACGTCACCCCACCCCCACCCTCACTACCCCACTGCCACCACCACCACCATTGTCACCCACTACTGATTGATACTATCGTCGTGCATTGCCACCACCTATCACCTACCATCATCATCATTTTATTCTTATATTTATTATCATTACCATCATGATCTCACTACCACCGTTGCCTACCGTCAGTACAAACCACTACCATTGTTGCCCACTGTCACCCAATACCATAACCCATCACCACCCATCATCGTCACCAACCATTGTCACCCACCCCCACCAAACCTACCACCACCATCTGTCATCGCCCACTGCTGTAGCCACCCATTGTCACCTACCCTCACCACACTTAAAACCGCTGTCATTCGCCACCATCCATCATTACACTATCGCCTAGAAGCATTCATTGTTGCCCACCACAACCATCGTTACCACCCACCACCACTGTCGTAGTCCCACTACCACCATTGACAACCACTATCACCGTGTTCCACCACCACTCACACCCACCACCACCATCACCGTTGTCACTCACGACTGCCACCACCACCACGGTTGTCGCCACCCACAACAACTATCACCGTCTCCCACCATCACCACTAACCCTGCTCACCCTATTACAATCAGTACTTAAATTTCTTTCTCTCTTTTATGTTTGTGATTTAATTTTGGGTGTAAATACAAATATGTTTATTGTTGATTATTTTTTTTATTATCCTGTACTTTCAGGTATGAAAAATAATTAGTATTTTAATGAGTTTACGTCAACATGCCATGAGTTATCTACTATTTAAAAAAAATATTCGAGTACCATAAACAGATGAGTTTGATTTAAGATAGGCATAGCTAAGTTAGCTCATTTGCTTTTATCTCCTTAACTCTTTAGGAAAGGAACCCTTAATCAGAACTTTCCTAATGGGCTGTTTGGTAAACCTCAACATTTGCTTACCATACCAACCAATTCTGCTTTATTGTTTAGTTTAGAGACAATTATGTAAAACTGTTTAACCAAAATAGTGAATTTCCTCGTCATTTTCCTAGACATTGCTCATGTGCTCCCACGTGTATGCAACAAACTAAAGTCGACATCAAAAGTCAGCACTTAGGCTGAAGACGTCCGCTCACACAGATTTGTGTGTGATTACTGATTAGTAAGTTCATTTGACCAAAAGGAAGCAATGAAATTTTTGGCCACTAGCATTTGTTAAAAATAACAGAAGGCAATAAAAGAGGTTGGAGTAAGACAGCAAATATATATATATACACACACATTATTCTACCAAAAGTTCCTCCCCCCCCTACCAAAAAAATAAAAACAAAACCCAAATATACCAGAAGAATACAAATTAAACTAAATATTTTTTTGCTAAAATTTGAATTGGTCATTGTGAATAATTCACTTTTATCTACACACACACATACACAGCTATCAGTCCTAGGAATTGGTCTAACATTTCAGAATAATGTTGATAATATCCTATGTAACTCAAGACTGCTTCAGCAGGAATACATAAATGCCATTAGTGCTATAGCTCCCAAGGGCAAACACCAGTCCCTTTATTAAACTAGACCACAGTTTAGCTCAACCTCTTCACTGATTCATTTCAAAAGCAAAATGACCAGCATTTTGCCATGCCTCAATCGGTTGTCGTGTGTTCTACAGGGGACATTAGCACAAACACCACTATTCCCACTCGAGTTTCTGATGGCTTACGGTGCCTACCACTGGAGCCATCAACATTTTAATCTAAAGTTAATCATCCAAGTGTTACGGAACTTCTAATGCCACAAGGAATATTCCCAAATGGACTTGAGCTAAAAACAATAATAAAACAAGCATGTATAATTTCATTTTCATACGGCATCCAAATGTTTGCATACATGTTGTAGACTGTTTTGTACCTTCAAATTAGAATCTATGAGAAATAACAGGTTACATCAAGTACCCAAAAAAAAAGGGCAGAAGAGAACTGAAGTGGTTCAATGACAGCTTTTCATGTGTGTGTATTTACTCCATATATCTACACCCAGGACCAAATATAATCTGGGATACAAATGGGCCAAAGGAAAAGCAAAATTTCCCATTGGACAAGATGTGCAGGGTGGGTTTACAGCAGAATGTGGCACAACTGTGTAACCTAAAAACTAGTATGACATGGAACTGTACAGGGTCAGCTAAAAAGGACCNCACCACCACCATCACCTTATCACCACCATCACCATTACCATCACCACTATCACCTCTACCCCACCACCATCACTACTATAACCACCGCTCCATAACCATCACTACCACTACAACGATTGTCTCACCACCACCTCCAGCGCCCTTCCACCACCATCCCCACTACCATCATCATCATCACCACCATTGCTACTGTACCTTACCATCATCACCACTGCTATCGCACCTTACCACCATCACCCCCACCAACGTCACCCCACCCCCACCCTCANTGACTGGAACTGTTGGGAAAGCAAGCAGGCGCATGTATTGCTTGGCGACCATGCACATGCTGCTGGTGCCGAACTTGTGTTTGACTTTGGTGTATAACCTTCACACCGTCACTTATAGATGAGTTAGCTAGCAATTCTTTTCTTTTCCTTTTTTTGATCTTGTGTTAGCTAGCAATTCGGTAGGGGATAGGTAACTCATTTACATTGAACTACCAACCTCTACTTACCAAAAACTTCTTGCTTGCCTGTCTGCTCCTCTCTCTCTCTCTCTCTCTCACACACACACACACACAAACCCCTACCCTGGAAGTAGTATTCAGTTTGCACCATATGTAATTAGGATGGGGTAAGAGATCCATCGTAGCTCAATTTAACCTGATCTTTACCATTATCCCTTTAACACGGTACTGTTCGAGTTTAGATTTCTGAACTCGTAATACAAAACATTGGTTGGAATTTGAATTTGTTTGGCCCGAGATCTTATTTCAATTTGGGTTGATAAAGTCGGTCCAATTCTCGGGTTGGACTGGGATTAGTTAATTTGGAATATGGTTATAAAATAATTGGGTCGGAAGTTTTTTTACTCGAACTCGGCCTGAGTATTAAAAATCTCTACTTAAATATTGAATATTTTTGAATCGGGTTGGATATCATCTGTCTATGCTACACTCCTAACCATATCAAATAATGTTTTAAACCAAATGATCGGTCAATTGGTTATTGTTTCACATTATCCAATTATGTTATATGTTGTTGTTAACGCACTTTCATCTACATGACAAATTGACATAATCAATAAGAAGTTTGAGAATGATTTTCATAGATATAATAGAATTAGAANCATAAAATTTTCTGCATGATGATCAATAACCGCAGCCTCAGCAACCATGTATTCATAAATAAATAAGTCCGCAAAAAGTGGATGCCTCATTAGTTCAGTTTTGTTCTTGCCTTGAGATCAAGAAACACTTATAAGCTGTTTCATCTTTAAGGCCTTGTCCACCAGCCATCATTTATTTTTGGTGTTGAGGGTATGTCATCTATAACAACTCAATGCATCAACCTCGCCAAGGTCCTTAAGTCACTTCATCCTAGTTAACTAATTGAGCATAAGCATTTTTAATATTAGAAGTTAAAGCACACAACCACTTCCACTTCCACCAACAAGCTTCAGAGATACAAAGTAACCATAAGTCGATCAAATCTCTAAGCAAGCTTCAGGCCACGACCAAGTCGCTTCTCAATATCTCCACAAGGAACAAAATTTATTTCGGTGCATTGTTTCGATAATTGGAGAAATGGTAACGTTTCGAAAGCATTTCATAAATTCAATGGTAACAAAGAAAAAATTTGACATCTATTTCCGAAACAAAGACACCTCGAAATATGAGAATTTTGACCCTCAATTAACAATTCATTTTGGCNGCATTTCATAAATTCAATGGTAACAAAGAAAAAATTTGACATCTATTTCCGAAACATAGACACCTCGAAATATGAGAATTTTGACCCTCAATTAACAATTCATTTTGGCTTCCATGAAAATGGAAACGTTTTGGCCATTTTTTGAAATGAAATTTTGATCCTTGTATTTCTAGAACTTATATTTTTGAGAAGTATCTAAATTGAAGCAAAAAAAATTGGTGCTTAATAGAATAAAATAGCGAAACATGTTCACGTAGCTTACTCCAAAAATATTGGGACAAAGATTTGTTATGTTGATATGAGTTTATCTGAATTGAAGGGAAACATTGTTGACTTATAGACAAACAATATCCAACAATTATGTAGGGCTAAGTACAAATTTTACCAGGTAATATCCAGAAATTAAGATGCTTACTAGTTTAGGCATCGTTTGATTGCGGTATCTAAAAGTGCTAATTTAAACGTTTCACATTTTATTATAGAATTTGATGATGAATTCAAGTGGCATCAACTGAAGTTTGTTGTCCATGCATGCACGCACTTGCATTTGAGGTTTAAATTATTAATTCCATTTTCTCTCTTGTATTTTGTGACTAGTCATGGCATATAAGGAACACAGGGTACGTTACTTCCAATCAGAAGACTTACGTCCAATAATATTCAGTTCTTGACTCTTGACGACAGCTAGGCAATATACAAGATCACGCTGTAAACAATGCATGCCATAAAAAGTTAGTATAATATCGGATAAACATTAAAAAGAAGCAACTGCATCAGGAGGAAGACTCTACCTGCACGGAGATGACAATTATTGGATCATAAACGGCAAATTGGCCTCCTCCTTTCATAGATAGACTCATACTAGGAATCAAACTAGTATTTGCATCAGGACTGCCCATTATAAACATTATAAAGACAAAATGACAGCCAGATTTAGGGGGTTAGTCACTGGAAGGAACTAATGACAAAGTTTAGGGTGATGACCTCATATCATAACAATATTCGAAAGGGATCCTTGGATCAGGTGTCCGCTGCTTATCTTGGGCTTGTGAATGGAACTGTAAAAGAACCAAAGGTGATGACTTAAAGGGGTGTCCATTGGGGAAACAATCAGAATTAATCTCTGTCATCTTGAGTGCTTACACTCTCTGAAAGCCTTGTATAGGGAGGGTCAACCAGATATGTGAAGGAGGTCCCAGAGTCAAAAAGAGCTGTGAAATCCAAGTCAATGAGAGTAGTCCCCACTCGAATTTGAGTCACAGCTATATTATAGGTTGGACTACTGCACACAGATAAACTTTGTAAGAAAAACTTCCCAAAAACTCACAAACTGACACAGCATCACTTACCGTAATGGATCTATATTAAATGGGGTCTCTTCCTGGTCAAGACTACCCTTATCTCCAAAGTTAATCCTACCGGTTCCATCACGCCCAAAACACATGGAGAAAGAATCTGCTGTGTAATGCTCTTGGGACAAAATGCTAGGAACTGATATCTTCTCCAAGCCAAGCCCAAATAAACCATTTGGAGCTGCAACATCTAGAAATGAACCAGTTTGAACCTGTCCACAGCTGCACAAATTTAAATTGCAAATTTATGTCAAATTCTAAATTTGAGCAAGAACAAGCTAAGATGGACCTCTATATTATTCAGTTTGGATACCTTAAATGGGCATCTACCAAATCAAATTCCCTAATATGCTTCGCAATAATAAAAAACTAGCAGTCGCCTCATGCAGTGAACGAAATTTATAATATCTCTTCCCTACATCTCTACTCCCATCCCTGCCCACACCCCACCCCAACATTATTAAAAAATTATTTATTAATGTGTTAAATTGATATTTTAAAAAAATTCCAATGTGAATTAGTTAATAAAGATGAAGAAAAATTCAAAATGTGTCCAAAAGTCGAAAGTGGTTCATAGGCCCATGTTGGAATTCAATTGGAGCTAGCCAATAATTCACTATCAAATAATTCAAAATTAGAAGAAAATAGGATTTGATGATGGAAAGTTTCTCAAACCTTCTCTCCCCTACATTAATTCATATCATATATAGTATAGATTATGCCCATGATATGGTATGCATCTGCAACTGATAAAATCAAACACTATTATGATAACAAAAACACACCAATACGCAGAATATTGCTGAGTAAGATCAAATTAGCAGTATTGCACATAATCTGGCAACTTACCCAAACGTGATGTATGCATCAACCATAGCTGGATCATTGCCTTCTGTCTTTAAGTGCAGAACATCCTCCACCAATATCCCAGAAGTTGAAGTTTCAGATGAGACATAGGAAACTGAGTAAGGGCATTGGCTAAATGTTCCGAGGCAGCTACTATGGTGTGTGCACAAGCTATGGTCACAAGTGACCTTTTTGCTTGTTGATGATTCATTTGGGCTGTATATGCTAAGCTCAAAATCCTGTCACATGGCAACAAAATTGTAGAAAATCTGTGCAAAGTTTGCAATTGTACGACATAAAGTTGGAGATATATCAATGCATCTATACAGGATGCTAATTGGGAATTGGAAAGTCCAGCACCAAGTATCCATGCCAAAGTGCAGCACTCGAGTCTGTGATGTCTTGATCACCCATCCTGGCCAGAAATAAACCAAAAAGATCCTAGATTTGTTTACATCAAGGACTACATGTATTTTAAAGTGTTTCCTTTATTCACATAAAGAAGTTTGGAAACAAAAATTGGGCATGCCCATGGGTATTCAAAGTATTTTCCCATACTTCATCCAAATCCGGATGGAAACCTGGAATCTAGCAGCATTTAGACAGCCATTACCTAGCCAAGCATTAAAAATAAGCTTTTACCAGTTGCATTGAACCGCAGGTTGATAATTGCCTTCTGAGTGATAGAAATTTAGATCATCTGTTGTCTTCCTTTATTTCCCCCTTTTTATTGGATTCTCTTAATGAAAGGAAAAAGCTAATTTCAATCTCAGTTCATTGGTTAGTGTAAAGAAAAAATGAGGCCTTAGCACCACTTCACCTAGGTTCTATTTCTGTTTTAAAATCATCTGTAAAGAAAAGAAAAGGTAACAAGGAGAGCTAACAGAAGAAGAAGAAGAAGTGTCGGTTATGTGCTAGGACTTTCTCACATTCTGGAAGAAGGAAGGAGACAGAATTATTTTGTACTCTCCTCAAACCACATAGAACCATGCATCCTTGGAATAGCCGCTCTCATTATGTGTCTCCTCTAGTGTAACCTATTCACAAAAAAAGAGACATAGCCTCACTAACATACCTAGAAAAGATTGATAAAAGCTTCTCTACTAGTTTGTTTCTTCAGATTAGAGGATTCTATTCTCACATTTTTCGTGCTGTTTTCATTTCTTTGGCACTCCTTTTCATTGTTTTCATTATAAAATAAAAAAGAAAAAAAAAACCTTTCTGACCTACAATTATTCTTGGTAGGTTAATTAATTTGCATGAAAAACTGAAATATCAAACACTATCCCAGAAGCATCATCCTAGTTCTTCTATTTAGTGGCCTATTATCGACAAAGGCAAAGAAAGCAGTAAGGGCAATTTCCAGGATCCTTGGTTGCCAAATCCATTATTTTATTCTGCTATGCTTCCCAATGCTGTTTATGTTCAGCAATCGAGAATTCAAAGATAGATAGACCTGTACGGAGTGAGATACACAGTCCAGGTACCAAAATTGACGAGTTAACTAACCCACTGCAGTATTTAGCATGAAAGGAAAAGTAATAGCAATTTGGGTGAAGCAAACTTCAACTAACTAGACGGAACTTTGCAGTACTCCCAATCATTGTAGCAATTAACGAGAACCATATTATCCAGTTGCTTCACAATTCAGCTGCTAATTAGCATTCAAAGCTACCTCCATGGTCCTAGTCATATGGCTACATCCATACTATTCGCGTACCCATTAAAAATGTCTACTCAATGTATCACAAGTGGATTTCATGCTTTAATTTGTTCTACATCACAAGGCGATTGCCACATAAACAAAATTTTAGAATTTCCGTTTTCTGCATTATAGAGCTAAGTAGGCANTCAATGTATCACAAGTGGATTTCATGCTTTAATTTGTTCTACATCACAAGGCGATTCCCACATAAACAAAATTTTAGAATTTCCGTTTTCTGCATTATAGAGCTAAGTAGGCATCCTCTAGGATAGCAGAAGAATCACACATTTAAGGCTTTTAGCAATCAATGCAGATGGAAAGAAAAAGCTAGAGCTAAATTTAGGTATATAGTTAATGTAGTTGTTTTCTTCTATCCCAATAATTCACTTCAAAACAGATGTAGAACAAGAGAACATACGGAGCTATAAGGGGTGTCGGCAGTAGATGCACAACTGCCACAATCACAAGGCACCCAAAATAGGTCGCTCCCCGTATCAAGAGCCACCAGAAAGTCCATGGCCGGCGTCCCTAGCGACACCGTCGTGTAATGCAAACTACACAAATCTCCACAAAACAGAACCAAAATAAATAAATAAATAAATAAACTCTACTTGCAAAAGATTAATCAAGAAATTGAAACATAGAGGGACTTAGTGATGATCCGTACAATCCCAATGAGCTGATCCGGAAAGTCTCATTGCCGTTGGAGAATACGAGTGGTCCGTCCAATTCCGAGAGCCTCCGTCCTCGAAAAACACGATCATGGTGGGCCAGTCGTGCGTAGTACTCGATACTACCTTTCTCCGGCCAATGATTTGCCGGAAAATGTTTTCCCGCTCGTTGGGACCATTTCTTCACCGGTTCAGAGAAGCGGTGGTGTATTTGTAAGGTGAAAATACGGGCATAAGAGCATTGAGAAAACCAAAACAAGATCAATGTCAGCAAGAAAATGTAGAAAGAAGACATTTTTACACAAATCAGACAAAGATTTGCATCAAAAAAATACTTTGAAGCTGTGAACCCTAGATCTTGGACTTTGAGAGAGAGAGAGAGAGAGGGTNAAAACAAGATCAATGTCAGCAAGAAAATGTAGAAAGAAGACATTTTTACACAAATCAGACAAAGATTTGCATCAAAAAAATACTTTGAAGATGTGAACCCTAGATCTTGGACTTTGAGAGAGAGAGAGAGAGAGAGAGAGAGAGAGGATTACTGAAACTACGCAAGTGAAGAAGGAAGTTTAGGTGGGTTCTTGGTATTTTTTCCGTTTTCTGAACAGTGAGGGTACTTCTTGGTGTTGAGGTCTCTATGTTGACAGTTGACAAAGTTGGAGGGATTGGCTTCAAATTGCATTGTGGGTCGACTTGGCCATTTAAAGCTAATGGGTCCCACTCTGTTCCGCTTTTCTCTTCTCNTTGAGGTCTCTATGTTGACAGTTGACAAAGTTGGAGGGATTGGCTTCAAATTGCATAGTGGGTCGACTTGGCCATTTAAAGCTAATGGGTCCCACTCTGTTCTCCTCAAGCCCCCCCTCCGCTTTTCTCTTCTCCTTTACCTCTTTCCCTCCAATTCTTGTTTATGTTTTTTTTTTTTCTTTCTCTTTCTTTTTGGTCGGGCACTATCACAGGCACAGCGAGGGGAGGACGAAATTGGAACAAATTATTGTAGGTGAAATCCACCATATTGGCCTGGATTTACAAATAATTTTGCTTAAAGGCCTATAGTCATATTTTATAGGATTAATTTTGTAACGATGTGTATTAGAATTGATCTTTAACATGTTAGTTATAACACTAATTATGATCGTATTCTCAAAGGTTATTTTTAGAATTTTCAAAAATCTAAATGGATATCAAATATAAATATCTACCATTACGATTAACAAGTTAACATTAATCTTAATAATGATGAATTTAAATTTGAGTTCCGCTAGAGCCCAAATTCCTCTGAATTTATAGAAGATGGCCCAAGCAGTTCATCCATACAGTATTCATTGAGCTCGAAGTGGACAATGACCCAATTTTAAAGAGACTTGATGATAACAAGTTTGGTATAAATATGAGTTCGAAGCTAACAAGTTCGGTATAAGTACCACTTCGAGAGATGGGAGCACGGCGCCAGGCATTACATGTTGACAGGAGACACGTGATGGCTCATATAACAATTTGTTATTAACATGCTAATTAGGTCACTAATTATATTTTTATATAATTAAGAGTTATTTTTAAATTTTAAATAAATAAATGAACATAAAATATGAATTATTTGCGTAAAAATGAGTTAAATGACTACGATATAAGTTATATTTTTTTTATTAAAATAAAAATAAAAATAACATAGTGTTTGAATTATATACTAAATGCATAATATATGTGTAACATGCATGTAAATAGATATCAAGTGCCGTGTGCCTAGAGATGAAATATATTTATGACAAATGCCATGGACAAGTGTCCATGACGTAGGCATAACTATGTAAGCACCCTTACATGGGTTGACGTCAAAGCCTCGGAGGCCAAGCAACATGTTGGCTATATATGGCCTTTCAGACAATGAGCATGTAGGAGGGAAAAAAAAGAAGAGAGAGAGAGAGAGAAAGGAAGAAAAAATGAGACAAAGATGAAAAGACAGATAAATTTATCAGATTTTTGGGTCAAAAATTAAATAGTGATTCGTTATGAAATTAAAGTGTCTTATTTGAGATCCTTTAAATTTTTTAACTATTAAACTTATTAATGGTTTTGAGGTACGAGATAGTATATAATATACTATTATTTTTTAAATCTCCTTGCAAAAAATATTTTTTGATTATTTAAAATTTATATTCCTATTGATTATTCTAATTGATATGAAATTTTGCCAATTTTTTTAGTTGACCTGTATGTTGGGTAAAATACTTTGGGATTAATTAGTACATGTACAAAGTATACTTGAGAGATAATTGGTAAAATGTGATTATGGCCCTACGGGGTGCGATTGTGATTACAGTCCTATGGGATACGGGGTGTGATTAGTTATTATGAGTATGAATTTATATATCTAAGTATCACTTGTCATGTCATAAAAAGGAACCAAGTATAAGGTTATGTTTGATAGAAATTGAGTTATGTGACTTATTGAATTGGATTCTTGATTCTTCTATCTATGATTGTTTATCGATTAAATTATTTGATACTTTACCATTCATACTTTTTCTCGTTAAGCATATTGTTTCCTACGGGGTGCGATTGTGATTACAGTCCTACGGGGTGTGATTAGTTATTATGAATATGAATTTATATGCCTAAGTATCATTTGTCATGTCACAAAAAGGAAGTTATGTTTGATAGAAATTGAGTTATGTGACTTATCGAATTGGATTCTTGATTCTTCTATCTATGATTGTTTATCGATTAAATTATTTAGTATTTGATCATTCATACTTTTTCTCGTTCAGCATATTGTTTTCTGTCATATTGTATACTTCCCCACTTTTAATATTTTTTTTTCAAGATGATCTCGAAGGGAATAATTAGAGTTGGTATGTGAGGGATCGAAGATGAATGAATCTTGATATAATTTTTAAATTTTATTAGTATTTGGAGATAAAAAATGCGAATATAAATTTATTAAAGGAATTAGAGTTCTGTGCCGATATTCAGAGATATTTGTAGTTTATTGTGATCGATTGATTTAATCAAGTAACGCGTCTCAGGAACAGGACATTACAGGACAAGAGAACATTACTTGATGAATGAACAAAAATCCACAAGTAGTGGAGACGGATCACATACTGTAGCCGTCGAGTGGTGGGTGTAGAAAAACGTTAGGGATCATAGCTCCAAGACAAAGATAAACACATAGGATCATAGAATCAACAAAAAAGGATTAATGCAAAACCCTAATAGCTGGATGTTTAAATAGCCAAACAATGCTACAGTGTACAAGAGAACCATTCGGAATACTACCAAGTGAAAACCTGGGTGATATCTTGCAAGAGGCTTAAAGCAGTAGACCCTGTAACACCAATATTCTTCCTCAAGCGATACAATTTCCATGAAGTAAAAACCTTCATTGTAGTTGATGTAACCTTATTTTTTCGGTTAAGGTGAACCACTCACCGTTGCTTTTCTTCTTGCATCATACATGCTCACACTCTCGTATACACATACACTCGCTAGGGCTACATCCCAAATGGTTTTACAGTCCAATCCAGTCGATTTTGAGCACTATCAAATCTCATTCTCATCTACTTCAATTTAAACCTTTAAAAAACATCATCTAATTGCAGATATTGCAAACGAGTGTAGATGTCATGAGGCTAAAAACATAAGGGCATGGATGTAAACCATTTTTAATCATAGCAAAAACCCAATTCAGAATCTTGATTCTATAGTATAGATAGGTGTAGAAATCTACATTTCGATTAATCACAAAGGAGTTGAAGCCACTCGGCCTATATGATCAAAAACCTATGTACAAAATACATTCTTCAGTCCATATAGCTCGCAGTATTTACATAGACAAACTCACTTCTAGTCTACACATTATATTACTTGCTGCAAAAAAAGAGCCTCAAAACTGGTAAGTTTCAGAGCAAGAAGGCCTCAATTTCATCCTCTTGGTTGGATAATTCAGTAGTTTTGGATCTCAAATTGGAGAGGTAGACCTAAACCCGAACTTATCAGATAGCTTTGTTCGCGCTAAAGGTGACAAAGCTCCATCTGATGAATGAATTGCACGTCGTGAACCAACGGGTTATCTGTTCTTCCTGGAGGAGATCCGGAGTAACACAATGGTGAGCACCCTGTGCATACAGATTCTCTTCCATCTAGAGTCTGCATTGTACAGTTGTATTGAATCAGTTAGGCTAAGTATCCAACAAGTTTTAAGAAAATGTTTAAACTGTTGTTCAGAAAAGGCATGAAATATCTCAACCTTCTCAGCAATCATGTTCAGAATTTCACTTCTTCCATCAGAATTTGGTTGGCTGGAGAACAATAAAATGTGAAATGAGATTAAAAAGGAACCAAGGGATAGTAAGAAGAACAGTAACAGTCCTGTTTGGTTTGTGTCTCAAAAATCAGTACTAGTAAACTATTTTTGGAAAGAGTTTTAGAAAAATGTGTTTTGGTATTTTTTGTATCGCAAAACTTGTTTGATTATATGATTCCAAAAACAGTTGTACAAATTTTAAAAAAATAAAACTTGATTGGACAGTAAATTAGAAAACAATGAAAATAGAAATGTGGTGGCATGGAAGTGTGGTGGTGGTAGAGGAAGTGTGGTGGTGGTGGTATTTTTTAAATTTTGGAAAGGGTGTTTCTAAAAACACAAAAAACTCAATTTTCAAAAAACAGCCGACCAGAAAGCCTTTCTCCCAAAAATTGTTTCCAAAAACCAAAAAATAATTTCAGAGATGCAAACCAAACAGTGCCTTTAAATTTTCATGCTTTTCTTCTCACGAAATCTTGATGATGTTCTCTATCCAATAAATGGAAAGTCTGTTTTCAGACCCCCTGCGCCCTGCATCCACCCTCTAGTATATGCTTTAGAACGTATCATAAAATGCTATAAAAAAATTTGAGAAGTGATGGCAACAATGTTGAAAAGAAGAACCTTTGTTTGCTGCATCTGGGAGGTTTGAGAAATTCAGGCATGGCTGATCCAAGTCGGCGAGGCTTAGGGCAAACAGGGAGATCATTACCTCCAAAACCAAGCTTGCTAGTCTCTGGACCTGTATCAAGAATATTGCTTTTTACTGCTAAATGATGCATTTCCCTCTGTACAAATGAACAAGTAAATTGAGTCACAAGTAAAAGAAAAAAAAAAAAACTTGCGACTGATATTTCAACTCTTTATTTATTTATACCTCATTATAAAGGTAACAGAGAGAGAGAGAGAGAGAGAGAGAGAATGACTGATTAGTGGAGCCACAGGGGATTGAAGATGGTGTGTGAGTAAAGGGCAGAGTTGCTTGGCCGAGAATGGTTATAGGGTTGGTCTTGACCAGTTGAGTTTAGTCTCCTTATTTTTCTCTTGATCTCATATTGCCTATGATTCATTTGGTCCAAGTAACTTTCTTCACTCCAAGACTGAATTCTTCTTTTAGACTTTTTATGATTTAAGTTTTAAATTGGATAATTGTCTTACATTTTCACTCTATATTCTAATCACGAGGCATTTGCCAAATGATTACACGTTGTTACGCTTAGGTTTTAGTTTCACAAATTTTACGTTGGGATCACTGAATTAAAATCTTGTTAAAATAAATCAACACTGAACCTTAGGACGATAATGAAATGAACCTTCTAATTAACTGAGTCAAAATAAATCAACATTGAACCTTAGAACGATAGTGAAAGGNGTTGTTACGCTTAGGTTTTAGTTTCACAAATTTTACGTTGGGATCACTGAATTAAAATCTTGTTAAAATAAATCAACACTGAACCTTAGGACGATAGTGAAATGAACCTTCTAATTAACTGAGTCAAAATAAATCAACATTGAACCTTAGAACGATAGTGAAATGAACTTTCTAGTTAATCAGGTCAATTCAAACTTACTTTGTACTCCATGGAATTGAGAACCTAACTAAATTAGTTTTCTTCAACGACTCTNGAACTTTCTAGTTAATCAGGTCAATTCAAACTTACTTTGTACTCCATGGAATTGAGAACCTAACTAAATTAGTTTTCTTCAACGACTCTTTTTCCTATATTTTTTCAAATGGCCCCTGCTATGCCTGTCCACTATAGAACATTTACGACATGATGATATCAAGTGATTTTTCAATGGGCGGTTAAACAAACTGAGCTTCTCGTGCTCAAATCTATTTTAGCACATACAAGTTCGTTCATATTTTCAAAATGAAATGAATATGTCCAAGTTTTGATACTCATTTGATTTTCAAGCCGAACCTGAACACTCCGCTGCTCAGCTTGATGAACTCAAGCTCGATAGTTTACAAGATAATATGAGTTTTTCATTGTGAAAAAAGATCAAAACAACTTCCTTAAGATACAGTCAGCTCAATTAACACTTTGTTTTGCACCTGGTTTTGTCTCAAATTTCACAACAATCAAAAGATACAGTTACTCATGCGCTTCTTTATGTACCACAACTGCAGCCAAAGTGCTGATTTCCATCAGAGTACCATACAATTGTGCAAAAACAGGTTCAATAATGAAAACCCTGTATGAGTTTACGATTTTCAACTAATATTGCCCTCCTGTGTTTGGACAGTATATCCAAAGAATCTAGGTTTAAGATTGTATATGCACTTTAAGAATGTGCAAAATGCATAAAATACACACGTATACACAGGGAGATAGAGAGGGAGTTTATGTTCTTAACATCTTGCTGAAATGGCCTCTTATTTCAGCATGCAGATCATTCATGAGAAATGTTTGAGAGCACATCTGCCTCCAAAATAATTCCACAAAAGAATACAGGACATATCCCTTATCTTATGACTTCAGGAAGTCTTCAAAGCTCAATTCACAAAAGAATAGTGGGTTGTACTCTAATCATGAAACAATTCAAACAAATATGAGGACTCAAACTATGCCCCTTACCCTGACAACAATAAGTCATAAAAGGGAAAGGATATAACATCCCTACATTTCCAAATATATAACTATGCATTCCACATAACAATAGATTGTGTACCATCTGCACATTTTGTCAGCCATTCACACTTGCACACATACACACCTATACCATGGTATATGTTGTGTCATCAGTAAGAAGATTTTCAACAAGTTAGATTTAGATCAAGCACATATTTTCTGTAATCTGTTTACATTTGTCTGAAAACATACCTGAATTGAAGATCCTGGATTGATTGCATGTTATCTCATCCATAGGCGTGTAGAGCAAAAAAGATTAGTTTGAAGCTAAGAAGGATGTGCATTAAACAAACTGCACTCTAGAGAATGAATGCAACTAAAATCACTCATGGTCTAAAATTCAATCAGCATTAGACAATTATGATTTGAAGACACTGTACCCTTAGAAGAGAAGAGTACACCGTCACCATTAACCAATAATTTACAGGAACGAGGCCACAAGGGAAAATAATACATAATCATAATTGTTATGTATCCCATTCAAATGCGGGCTGTGAGAAAACCTCATAATCTATAGGTCCATCTATAAGATTGTCAACAGACTGTATGCCTTGCAATAGGGCTGGCTGGAAAGCATCATTATCAGAAGGAAGAAGTTTATACATCACTAACAACCCAAGAGTGAATATTGCTTGCAGCTTTGTGGAGTCTCCTTGGACTGAAAAGAACAAGAGCATTGAAAGGAGGAACAAATCAACGCAGAACCGCATAATACACAATACTGTGTCCATCAGCCTCCCATCATTTCCAGCAGGAAAACCTCTAACTCTGTATACAAATAGGAAGTTGTATTTATCAACGACGTACCTATACCCAAAATAAATTGCACCAACAGGGACAACAAGAGGAGCAAATGAAGAATATATCAAGGTCAAGGCGAATATTGTGAGATCGAATGCATAATATTGTGCAAAATCAAATGTCTGCTTGGGTACGGGTGAGGTTCGGCTGATTGGATAATCTGAAAGATCTTGTCCTGGTAAATCAATTGCATTGAGTAAGGAANAATCAAATGTCTGCTTGGGTACGGGTGAGGTTCGGCTGATTGGATAATCTGAAAGATCTTGTCCTGGTAAATCAATTGCATTGAGTAAGGAACCATGTGACGATCCATTTTCAGATGCTCCTTCAGGGATCAGAGGTCTCTGTAGGGCCTCCACATCCTGACTTTCTAATGCGTAGCCCTCGCTTTGCTCTGGTACCAGCTGAAGCATGTCATGCNAACCATGTGACGATCCATTTTCAGATGCTCCTTCAGGGATCAGAGGTCTCTGTAGGCCCTCCACATCCTGACTTTCTAATGCGTAGCCCTCGCTTTGCTCTGGTACCAGCTGAAGCATGTCATGCTTCCGAAACTTCTGAAGATTCTTTTTTATCCAAGGTATTGGAGCCAAAAGGTCAAAAGATATTCCCAAAAAAGTGCTTGTGATTAGAAATGCGAGAGACGAAAGACACGATTTTGACAGGAATGAAGCACTCATGTATTGCTGAATCCGTTTGCAATCTTCTCCATCCAAATAACATCGACCCATCTTTAGGATTGCACTCTCAAGTGATGATTCAACCAGAGCTCTCAAGAGAATGAGATTTACCAGAAAGAAACAGACCATCTTCAGCAGTGCAGCTCTTTGCTCCCCAGACACAGTAAGATGCCGTTCAAACTTGGAGAGATAAGAAAGAGCTGATGGAACCACTATGTACATGCTCACAAAAATAAGAACATTAGGCAGGAACTGAAAAATTATGGTTGCAAGCCAGCTAGAGCTTTGCACCCAAGCCAACCACACCTGAGCACTATCCATTGCTTCTGCATTGATGATCCGTGCTGCACTCTGTATGGCACTGATCACGGCGAGAGGAGAACTGCAGAACAAAAGCATCACTAGCAAGCAGGAGTTTACAAACACTCTCCGCAGTCTTAGAGAAAACTTTGTTGATCCCAAATGATTCCAATATATGTCACTTGCCAATGGAGCTCTCTCAACTTTCCATTGGTTCCTCTGTAGCTGCAACTCCATAATAGAAAAGAACTTCCCTATGCGCCTCTTCTTCTCATTCCGGAAATCCTGAACTGCCTTATTGGCTGTGTACACATCCTTAAACACCACAAAGGCAACTCCAGCACCCTTTGCTCGCCCTTCTTTGTAATCTGCCATTTCCATCTCTAAATCAGCTCTCCGCTCTTGCAATTTTCTTAATCTTTCTTCATCCGAAATGCCCAACTCATCAACAACCTGATTCCACAAATCCTTCACTCTACTCCACAAGCAATGCACCCTGTCCCACAACCCCCCCTCTTCTCTTCTGTCCTCATGATCCTCACCTTCCATCCCAACCCGCGCCTCAATTATCGCCACCAACTTAGAAATATCCTCCCTAATCTTCACCAACTCTGTAACCAAATCATCCAAAGCACACAAATCCATTGGCACAACCACCCGAAAAACTTTCCCTGGATACTTATGTTGAAAATACTCCACCAAAGGGCCTTTATCAAACCCTATATTTTTCGGTATCCCCTGCACCATTATAGTAAAAATTGCTGTAGAATTCCCACTAGGGTCACTAGGATTTCCATACCCATCTCTAAACCTAGTAATTCTCAACCTTTGTTCAATGGCATTCATACCAAAATGCACCAAAACAACAACTACAACAGCAAACAAGAAATGAATCCAAAGCAAAGCCGAACCTTTTACGATGTGATTTATCGTTGTTTTCGAGAACTGATCGGCAATCGAAGCGGTCCCGGCGTAAATATTGAGAGGAAGAATGAGAAAAATGGCAGGGATGGCAATGGAGATGAGGACGGCGGAGCTGCCACCCTCAATTAGGAGGAACTGGGCGGCGTCGGCACCACAGTGGCGGGCGATCTCACGGCCGGTGGCGTGCCAGGCGGCCAGAAGCTTGGCAACTATGGCTGTGGGCCCCGGCATACGGCGGTGGTCGCTTCGGACCTTGACAAAGATGAATATGAAGAGGCAGGTTAGGGCCCCGATGGCGGAGATGTTAATAAGGTACTGGATGTTTCCGTACCATGAGGTGTCGAAATCGCTGGAGTCCGACGGCGATGGCGATTGAGAGAGAGTGGAATTCATGTCAATTACCGGCGATGACTGAGGTGGATACATGGGGATTAGCAATCTAGGGCTTATATACATCAAACTAAGAATTTCGAAGTGGTGAATTGAGTTAATTGCAATCGGTGAGATTGAGATTTGTGTTCATCTATGCTTATGGTTAGGGTATTAAAGGGGGGAAGAAGAAGAAGAAGACGACGAATTGGAGGAGAAAGACTCTGAATCAANTGGTTAGGGTATTAAAGGGGGGAAGAAGAAGAAGAAGACGACGAATTGGAGGAGAAAGACTCTGAATCAAAGTCATTGAGTCTTTGTCGATATTCGCAATATTTTTTCCAATTAGTCTTTAGATTTTAGTTTCTATTTTAAAATTTTTTTTAAATTTTATACTTGTTATCTTTAAAAAAAATGGAAAGGTGCAACCAATAAGAAGCCTCGACATGAGTTGCGTGGCCGTGAAAGTTCTAAAATATGAAATGTTTGATTTGAATCATAATTATTATTTTAAAAAAATAATTTGTCATCATAACATTACTAAAATCAAACAATAAATTAAATTATATATTGAACCCTATTTATTAATTATACGAGAGTTATGGACGATATTAAACAAGTATGATTTACACTTCAACTATCAACTTGTTTCAATAAAGTTATTTCTTCTATTTTACAATCAGAACAACTAGGGCAAATTCATGTATTTGTCTTGTGGTCGTTCTCGTTATGCGTTTTTTTATTTGTTCAAATGAGTGTAATAAACATAAGAATTTTATTGATACAAAATTAATAATTTAAAAGAGAAGACTTTAAGAACCAACTCCTCAAAAAGAGCGTACTTTGCAAGGAACCCAAGTACCCAACCAAACACTTTTTTTTAACTTTACCATTCTAACAACATCTCCGAGAGATGCTGTAAAGCACAAAAATAATTAAAAATTTAACTAATCAAAATAAAAAATTATACTCCAACAAAAATATGTTTAGATACACTAAAATAGATTTAAAGTATTACTGTAGCAATATATAAAATTTGTTTATAATATTTTTTATCTTTTCCTTTCTTTTTTTCTATTCTCTCTCTTTCTCCCTTTCATTATTCCCAAAAAAAATAATACAAAAGTAATGAGAAATAATATTTAAAAGGAGTAGTTAAAAATATAAAAAATCTATTAGAATGTACATTAAAAAAGTGAGTAGTTAAAATAAAAAATGTTACTTTTTGAGTAAATAAAATAGATTTTGTTGTTGAAGATGTTCTAAGCATAGTTTGGTTTGAGTTAACGATTCTTTAAGAGTATTTTTAACTTATTTAAATTTAAATTTGAATCAAAATGATCTAAATTTTTTTTTTAACCTTAAACCCAAACTTCTACCAAATCAGAAAAAATTTATTTTAGATCCAAATTGAGAAAAACTCAAAACTTATATCAAATTTTCAAAAAGAACTTTTTATCTTATCTGAATTCAAAAAACTCATTCAACAGAACATGTCTCTCTTGCTTTTTAACTTCAAAGCCATTGTCATTGTCGCCGACCATAGTGTCTATTCCTATCTTTATTTTTTGACAATAACTTTTTACTTTTTCTCTCTCTATCTCTTTTTACCATTTTTCTCTCTCATAAACTCTCATTCTAAAAAATTATCTCTGGTCTCTCATACTTAGTACAAAGCTTACGAATCTACCGATCAAAGAGGTTGATATTCTTGCCTTTTCTTTTGGTTAATGTTAGTAGAGTTTGTAAAAAATAAGTTTTAATATTAGATAAAATATTTCGTTGAAAAAAATTAACAAAATTAGTTTTGGGACAGTAAGAGAATTTTTTAAAATATTTGAATTTACTAATTAGAATATTTTATATCAAATCATAGTTTGAGATGCTCTAACATAAACTTAAATTTAATATTACTTGTTATCGTCAACAAATGAATCATATTAGTATAAAATATGAATAATTTGAAATTGACACAATTAATATGTTTTAGTTGTATTCTAAAAATAAAATACTAATTTTTTTTATTATTTTTATCAAGTATTGACATGAATTCTTATTGTATAAAATAATTTTTTTACTTATTTTTACTATTATAAGTATTTAGTGAATTTTCAGTTTATGAAAAACCTATGAGAATTGGTTTGGTCGAAAATAATGGAATCAAATTTTTNACATTCCAAAATACTATGGGGTTCTCATCAAAAGTGTAATACCCCCAATTTTTGAAATATATATATATATATATAACTCAGTTAGGTCAATTTGTGATATTATTTTTGAAAAGGGATGTTAGTGTAATTAATGAATGAGAAATTGTTGGGTTATCGTACGGTTTCTTTGATTTTGTATTTACATAGATGTAACCCGTCAAAATAGGGTAAAATAAAAAAAAAGGATAAAAGTGTAATTAAAATAAGTTCTCTTGTTACCCTAAAAGTCTAATGACATATATATATATATATATATATTCTCTTCTCAACATATAGACATACGTTAGAGTTAGAATAAGAGAAAAGAGATAAGAGGATAGAGTTTTGAGTAAAGAAAAAAGAAGAAAAAGAAAGAAGGGGATTTAGAGAAGAAAAAAGAAAACTAGAAGATTTGATCATCAAGATTAGTCTTCAAATTAAAATTTAATTTTGAATTTAATCATTATATGTATGTATGTATGTGTATATATATATATATATATATATATATATATNTTAGAAGATTTGATCATCAAGGTTAGTCTTCAAATTAAAATTTAATTTTGAATTTAATCATTATATGTATGTATGTATGTGTATATATATATATATTCATGGTAAAGAATAGTGATGAACGTATAAATGAGTTTTGTTGAAAATTGTTAATTTAAGTGTTTTGAGATCTAATATTAGATTTACTAGTCATAACCCGTGCCTGAAGGTACGATAAAATATAAAATTCAAGCGTCCAAAAAATTGATTCCATTATATTAAATTTTTTTTAAATATATTAATTATAAATTAATCAAATATTAAATGATTAAATATATGATAGAAATGAGTGATGTGATATTTTTATAGAGGAAATATATAAATGATTAAATATGTGATAGAAATGAGTAATGTGATTTAACGNCTACTCAAGGGCCTTCGTGCTCACCCAAATATTTAACATTTTTTCAGGTGAGGATCAGGAGGAGGAGTAAGTCCTCGGATAGACAAGGGATTAGAAGAATCGAAGATTTATTTTATTGTAGNGATGGGTGAAATAAGTGATTGGTGATGGTTTTGAGGGAGAAAATATGACTAAGATAAAATTCAAACACACTCCTGTTTTATTATATAGATTATTTATGAGACTTTAAAGANAAATTTTATAATTGATTAATTGTAAGTTAGATTTCACACCAATTTTCTATTAATGCGTATAATATAGTTGAAATCATCTCAATCTTATTGAGAAATTACATATTTGACATAGCATAAAATGCTTTTGGGTTATAACATATAGCATTTGCATCCAATCATGTTTTATTAGGTATAGACTACAAAAAAATTGAAAAATAATAAATGATAGCTACAAAATTATTTTTAAAAAGATAGGAAGCATTGTATTAAATAGAATAAAAAAATTATATTTNATATTCATTAGGTTGGTGAAAAGGATCACTTTGTTATTTGTCTTCTGCTGTATTTTACATTAATCATGCACAGAGATGGTTGGTTAAGGCCTTGGTGGCCGGTCCGCTGCTCACCCTATGTGATCCGGGGTGGGGGTGTGACAAAAAGTCATCCAAAAGTTAGGGGGAGGGCGGCGATAAGTGTAGCTCCGCCCTTGTTTGCTAACATAGAGGAATAATGAGTTGTTATTTGCTTACGTGGAAGGTTGATTATTAATTTTAGTGAGGCCTATTTACTTATTTATTTTGATATTATTAGTTGGTGATATCACATTAGCATTACCACATAATATCACCATTGTAATGAATATTTTCTCCCAATCTTGACAGGTTTTCCCAAGGTCTTGGTGGCTTTGAAATGCTGTTTAGGAGTGCCATTAGTGAGTAAGGAAAAATCAATAACAACTACTGAATTTTCTAGGTTTGAAGCTTTGGTTTCATTGGGTTCTACTGAGCATCTTTCAAACCCTAATACCTCTCTCACACACAATCACATACCAAATAGCTATCAAGGAACATTTTTCCAAGCCAAACTGATGAACCTTCACAAGCCCAAATTGACTAGATCCTCACATATTCGGAACCTCCATGGAATCCCTGAAAGACCATTGTGTGAGGTTTCTTTCCCCCATACCCTCNTCTTACATATTCGAAACCTCCATGGAATCCCTGAAAGACCATTGTGTGAGGTTTCTTTCCCCCATACCCTCTATTCAAGAAAACCTAGAACCTCATCCACATGATAATGAGGCACCCACAATAAACCTCCNGTCCAACAGTCCAGAATACTTCATACATTGTTACCTCATATTATAAAGGATATTTGTATGTAGAATATATATTAAATATATATTAATGAGTAGAAAATATAAAATTAAATATAGAATCGCGAAACGACGAAATTAGAAAAAAATGATTGATTGTTATATGTTATTTTGGATTAGGTGGTGATTGCATTGAGGTTGGGAAAGAGTGCTTTGAATTAGATTTTAGAAATCAAAGTGAGTAGTTTACTACTTCTTTTGGAAAAATTTTCTATAGTGTGAATTTTTCATATATATGATATATATTAATGTTTGAGGTTGCAATTAAATGTTTTGCAATTGTGAATTGTTATACATGTGAATTTAAAAAACTTATGATATGATTTTATATCATTGCTTNATAATCTCTGAAATGTCCTTTACATCTTGTCCATTTTGGGTCCAAGCTCATGGGCTCCCACCGAAATTGGTCACCGAAGAAAATGCAGACAAAATAGCAAAAGCATTAGGGGATTCTCCTTCAACTGGCAATAGATTGACCCAAATGAACGTTTGGAAAAACNTATGATTTTATATCATTGCTTAAATGTGTTTTGGGAATGAAAATGAAATTTCATGTGCATTGAGACTAAAACAACAGTTTTAGTGTGTGTATTGAAATCATGTTTTATGAGAATGGGACTGAGTTACTAGGTCTAAATGGTAACAAAATTGTATATCGGCGTGGTCGGTATGAGAATGTACACATAGGAGCCAGTTATCAGGCTAGTGATAACAAAAGACGGGGCCAGTCATCAGACTAGTGATGACAAGATATGAGGCCAGTTACCAGACTAGTGGTAACAAACATGATTTGACAAGTGTATTTGAAACTGAATGTGTGTGTGAGTGTTTTGAGCTATAAATGTCTTTTCTTTTATAAAGTTATTATAATATGAGATCATTTTGTTTATATGGTTATGTGAAATGGATTGGGGTACAATTTATTGTATTTATGTATATAACAAAGTTTATTTCTGTGTATATGAAATGTGAGATTTATTTTCAAACCTCATTAGAGGTGGTTACTACTCAAGGGCCTTCGTGCTCACCCAAATATTTAACATTTTTTCAGGTGAGGATCAGGAGGAGGAGTAAGTCCTCGGATAGACAAGGGATTAGAAGAATCGAAGATTTATTTTATTGTAGGTTTTCAAGAATAAATATTTTTTATAGTTTTGAGACAAGTATTCGATTATTTTGAGAATAATGTTGTTTTTGCTTAGAGTAGTGAACCTTACGGATTAATTATTGTTTTACATGAGTTTAGTAATAATATCGGTGATGTTAGTTTATTTCTCTAATATTCATTAGGTTGGTGAAAAGGATCACTTTGTTATTTGTCTTCTGCTGTATTTTACATTAATCATGCACAGAGATGGTTGGTTAAGGCCTTGGTGGCCGGTCCGCTGCTCACCCTATGTGATCCGGGGTGGGGGTG